AAAAAAAGTCAATTGTTTTTATAACATGTTTATGTTATATTTAATCTTAAATTTTAATTGGTTAATTCTGTAACAGACAAACAAAAATTGCATAATTTTGACTATAATTGTTTTTTATTATTTTTTTTTAATATTATGTATTATCTATTTCTAATTAAAAATAAATTCATAAATTTATGATTATTAATTAATAATTTTATTATTTTTTTGATTTATAATTTTACAGGTTATATTAGTAGATTTGTCACTTTGGTTTGTTATAATAATACAGTAAGGTGGTATCTTTTTTTATTATTTTTACTTATTTTTTATTTTTTTTGATTATTAATCAAAATCTAATGGCTTTATTTTCAATTTTAGTTAAGACTGATTTTGTTCTTTTAAACAAATATGAATACTAAACTCTTCAGTTTTTCATAGTGGTATAGTCAGATATATAACAAAATATTTTTTTTATTATTGTTTTTATTATTATCAGCAATTCTACCTAATAATATTCAGAATTTAAAAACAATAAGTTTTAAGTTTAGGATAAATCTAATTGTAACATCCTGTTACTTGTCTTATTTGTAACACCCAAAATTTTATCCAATCAAAATTTAAGATCAGGTGTAACGTCAATAATTTAGCAAATCAACAGTTGTGTAATGAAAATAAGAATTTTTTTAAAAAATTTCAAAAACTGTTTGTAACTGAAAATTTTATCTATGAAACTGTCTTTAATACAATACATTAAGTAAAAGTTTTCTAAATTAAATTTTGCATTTAAAAATCTTGTTTATAAAATATTTAATAAAATAATTTATAATTAAGAAAAATAAAAAAGGGAGTTACAAATAAGACATGTAACGGGATGTTACAAATACATTTTTCCTTAAGTTTATTAAAAATTGCGATTATTATTATCAATAATTAATTAAAAAATAAAAATAAATAAAACTAAACAAAAAAATTAAATCAAAAAATAACTAAAAATAAAAATAAAAAATAAAAATAAAAAACGAAATTAAATAATAATAATAAAAAGATTAGGGGAGGAGAAAAAAAAATAAAAATTTGAAATAATAAAATAAATCTAAAAATTAAAAAACAAAATTAAAAATAATAAAAAAAATAAAAATAAAAAGATCAGGGGATAAACTTTATCTAGACAAATAATTATAAATGCAATAATATAATACTCTCGATAAAAAAAGATACAAAAAATCCAAAGGACATATCATAGCTAAATATTAAGAAAGTAGTATAAATAATCATATCTATCAGTGATGAAATTACTGTTATCAGTTTAAATTTTGATCTTTTTTACGGTGGAATGTATATTATTGTATGAATTTTTGGTGTAAAAATTTTTTGAGTATAGGCGTGAAAATTTTTGAAGAAAAAAGAGAAATTTGATATAGATAAAGAATGAAAAAATAAATAAATAAACAATCTTAGTTGAACGATTAAATAATGTTACAATATTATATATGAAATGAATTCGAATTTTGTAATTAAATTGCGAATGCGAATTGTTACACAGAGTCTAATGAAGAAGTAGAACATCCTTTATAGTATTTTATCTTTGGAATTTCTTTTTGCTAAAATTATCAATAACTGAAAATAATTTTTCTTTTCTTTAATAATAAATAAGAATGATACCTAAAATATGAATATTCAAACAATTTACATGAATCAAAAAGAGTAAACATAAATCTTTATAAAGTAAAGACATTTTGTATTAACGGGATCGAAATATTTATTCCAAGAATCTTAAACGAGTAGTGTTAGATATATCTTCGTTTCAAGATTTATCAAATATTATAATCAATATAATTATTCAGGACCAACGTTAAACTCTATACAGCCTAGAATATCACTTTCTGAATTTGCAACACTTAATACCATATCGAACTGTTTAGATAATTTGTCTGGTACTTGAAATTCCACCGTTTGATTATATGTTACACCAGGTTTAATTGGACATCCACTTCCAGTACAAGCAGCAAAAATATTGGGGTGTGCTATGGTAGTTCGACCCGAATCACCAACAAATGCAATCACAAGTTTGGTTTTTTTGGTAACTTTATCCGTGAATGTTCCGCTAACAGTAGCTTTATACTTGTTTTTAGATGCGCTTGCAAATGATGCATGGAGTAAGGCTGGTGGGGTCGATAAACCGGTTGGTGGACATGAATAATAGCTAGATCTTTTAAGAAGTTTATGTGGAATTGCATTGACCATGGAAAGCGTGATCAATAAGAGGAATGCAAATATAAATTTTCGGTTCATGATTATGATTTCTTTGTTGAGTTTTTTTTTTTTTTTTTGGTGAATGTTAGTTATCAAATAAGCTTGGATTCTTAAAAATCATTGCCCTTTTATAAGGAAAAAAGTAAAAAAAAAATCGTATTCCCATCAGTACTTTTTCATCATGATTGGTACCAAATTTTGTTGATATGCCATTTAGTTTCTTTTTGAAATAATTTCACAGTAAGAGTGATTAACATGAAATTTTGAAAAATCATTACTAAGGAGGTCTGAGACGATCAAATAATTTACCTTCTTGTTTTAGCACTATTTTATAATAAATAAAATGAAATTATAGTAATGAATATTATTTCTTAAATTGAAATAAAGTTTAATTAATTGTAACACGAACCTGAAAATAAAAAGGAAATTGACGCAAGAAGAAAATCAACCCGCTTTGCGATCGACGCCTCTCTTTTATCTCGATTTAACAAGATTTAGGTTAGGAAATATTCACAAAAAGAATTAAGTTCGATTTGTGTTTCATAAAAAATTATAGTTTTTCTTTTTAACTTTATTTATTTAAATTAAATTAATCTTTTGTAGAATTGATATAAAGATAAATCCTGAAGTTAGCTTCTTTTTTTTTTTATCGAATTCCTTGGTGTTCGATTACTATTACTAATGGTGACGAAGCCAGAATATTTAACTCAAGCCAAATCCATAACTCGCGAGCGAAATATTTTGGTATGGTATTCATAATTTAATAATATTAATTATTATTATCATAATAATTTAAAATTATACAAAACATAATTTAAATTATAAATTAAAAAAGTAAGTTTCGAAATAAATGTATATAATCGAAAGTTTGTTCCAACATTCTAATGTATTCTTTTCGATCGTTAAACGTTGAATTCATTTCTTATTATAATGAGAAGAATGACGTCGAAGGTAGAATTTGTTTAAGAGAAAGCTTGTTGAATTTTTACGTAAAATTTGTATTTTCGGTATCTCGATTGCGTAATTCGATTCTGCGCAACTTTCGCTCCTTGATTGTTTTAAATTACGATTTGAACGCTGCTTACTTAAAGATTTAGTAAATTTTTTTGTGATTAAAGCTTTTTTTTCCTTTGCTTATTATTCAAGAATTTTATCATTTATGCATCGACCGACGACAAATTTGTCAGTATTTGCGATAAAAGTTTTATTGGAAATAATATTAACGCTCAACAACTATTAATCCCTGAATTAAAAATCGGTCAAGTTCGTTCAAAAACTCAGTGCAATTAAAATTCCTTCAATATTTTTTTAAAGTCTCCTAAGTTCGATAACTTTTATATAATTATTTAATAACAACTCATTCCATTGAAATTATATCAGATTTCTAGAAATTTTTTATAAATTCGAATCAATTTTATTTTGCATAGTGAAATATTAATGTTTTGTCGAATAAAATTTTAATTAATAAATTATTTTTTTTGATATATTTGAAAAAATCTTAACTAGTCAAACATGTATCAGTTTTAAAATACAATTACAACAGATGATTTTTTGAGGTATCCGGAACGTTTCGCCGAATCCGTTTCACCGAAAGGACATTTCGCCGAAAATGACTACTGCGTAACATTTGTTTAACTTGTCATTTTTAGGTTCTACATTATAAAATAAGTTTTTCTTAAAAATTTTGGAAATAATAAAAAAAGTTCAATAAATCTGGCAAGTTGCTAACAACCAACAGCGAATTATTTTCGTTTTCGGCGAAATGTCCTTTCGGTGAAACGGATTCGGAGAAGTGTCCATTCGGTAAAACGGATTCGGAAAAACGTCATTTCGGCGAAGCGTCCTCTCGGTGAAATGTTCATTCGGCGAAACTTCTTTTCGGTGAAAGGTCCATTCGGCGAAATGGACATTGGCGAAGTGGCCGTTCGGCAAAATGTCATTTCGGTGAATTGGCTTCGGCAAAGGGGGTTTCGGCGGAACGGGTTTCGGTGAAACGTACCGTAACCATTTTTTGATTATTTTTTTTTAACGATGCCAACCACATAGAGATTTCCTTATTAAATGATTATTTGGTTATTAACTTTAAAGCAAATCAATGTTAAAATGGTAACTGTTGTATATGTAGTACAAACTATCAATGAAAGCAAATTTGGTCTTTCCTATTACTTTTTATTTACAACTGCCATAAACAGGTTGAATGCCAAATTCTTTTTTATTTTTCAAAAGAGAATTATTTTCTATCTTCTATCGTTGCACGTTATTATAAATCATGAATAATAATAATTTTGATATTCGATATTAATCTTGAATTTTAAGCATTTGAACGGAATGAATCACGAATTCTTATAATTTTAGCCAAATTTAAAAATTAAAATTTGGTTAAATATCATGAAGTATATTATTAGGAATTATATAATGTCTTTTATACTTTTTAACTGCATATTCTACCTGTTTTACATTTAATCCCTTTCTATAATTTAATTTTGTTATAAAAGCCAGAATCTTCTATTTTAAAAGCGGCTGAAATCAAAATCTTATAAAATAATAAATAATAGATAAATTAATATTTTTTTTATTTTTAATTTTATTAATTATTATCATTATATTCTAAGTTATTTATACATACATGCATATCTTTAATATTAAAAATGCATTTACTACAAATTACTGCATAATCATTAACCTGTAAATCTTGCAAAAATAAAGAAAGTTGCTTTTTGTAAAACCCATAATGAAAAATTTTAAAAACTTTAGGCTCAACCATGTATCTTTCCAATCTATTCACAAATCTTCCATCCAATCCTTTAGACTTAATTTAACATAAAACTGTAATTGAGAATAGCATTATTTAATTTTTTTTTAATTTTAAATAATAAAAAAGAATAAAAATCACATGATTATATTCTCATTTTTATTTATATATATTTAATTTTTTATGTTTATAATAAATTATTTAATTTTATTTGATTATGATAAAAAATTTATATCATTATGATTTAATAATTATTTATTATAATAGTAAAATTCATAATTTATTATAATATAATAAGATTTATCATAGTTACAAAATTATTCTATCATTATTACTTAAAAATTTAATTATCGTTATTCTTTAATCATAATAATAACATTAAAGCTCAGAACAGTTCAGATTAATTTGAAGATTTTTTGGATTAGTTTAGTTCAGATCAGTTTTAGATTGCATAAAAATCAATCTGAAAATTTTCAGTTCAGATTTTTTTCAGATTATAATTCTAATCTGAACTAAAAAAAATCTGAATGAACTGATAATTTCAGATTAATCTGAAAGTTCAGTTCAATTATATGCAAAACTCTTGAAGAATCACAAAATTTGCGAATTCTCTAAGAGGATTGCAAAAATTTAGCGAAACTCTAAGAGAATCGCAATTTATTGGTCGAAATCAAAAAAATCAGACATGCGAAAAATCAGCCTAAATTCAACCTAAATTCGGCAAATTATCAAAAAATCAGCCTAGCTGATTAGCATACACTAGAGCTTCAAATCAGATTAGATCAACCTGTTTACCTGACCTGAACTGACCTGAAAATTCAGGTCAGGTCAATAGATTTTCAGGTTAATGTCAGGTCAAGTCAACAGGTCGAACTGATTTGATCTGACCTGATAAAAATTCAGGTCAACCAATCATTCTTCTTAAATAATTTATTAGAAATAACAAAGTTGATTAAATAAATTAATAATTGTTTATTATATTATTATTTATATTAAATATTTTTTGATA